TGCCAGCTTGGGAGGGTGGGGAGGACTTCCTGCCTCTCCCAGCTCTGTGCCCCTGTGTTTCCTTGCCCCGGATAGTCCTGTGGTCCTGGCGGCTTCTTCCTGTCATCTTATCTTGGGCCTGGAGCTCTCTTATCTTGGATATGCTTGCTGCTGAATAGTGGTGGCCATAGGCCAGGGAGGAGGCCGTGTTGCCGGTGAGCTGGAAGGCTGTAAATAGGGGACGTGACTCACTCATGTGCCGCTGGACTTGGTGGAGTCCATGCTCTGTGCTCTGGCAGAGTCCACATCCCCGAGCTCTGAGATGAGGAAGTGGGCTTGCTGGCTTTGTCAGTCTGTCTCCATGTAGGCATCCGTGAAGTCTGCATGTTTGTGTATCTCCGGTCTGTTGGCAAGGTCTGTCCTGGATCATCCTCTTACCATCCAGCCCCTCTGCCCGCCTCCTGCTGCCAGCCTCACCTTCCCTGGTAGGGCCTGCAGCAGGGGCCTCACCAGCTCTGCTGGACCTTCTGTCCTCTTTGCATACAACAACTGCCAGTTCTGGTCTGAACGTGTCACCCTGCCCAGCCTCCCTTGCTTAAGCTTCGATTGCCCAGTGCCCTGAAGATGGACGCATACTTACCATTGCTCATGGGATGACTGCTCTGCCTCTTCTCCTGCTGCAAGACTCACTTGTCCTTCCCTCCTCTCTGTCTAGCCCCAGTGACCCACTCGTAGTCTTTACACTCACCATCTCCCTTCTGCCACAGGGCCTTTGCATATACCTGCCTTCTGTCCCACTCATTTCTTCTTACCTCTGTGTCGAGAGAGCTCAACAGACCTCCTAGGAATCCTTCAGAACTCAATCCAAATGTTGTCGCTCTTTGGGTCACATCCTCACTACGCATTCTTTGCTTTATTAAAAAAGAATTGGTTTAATTATTTGAAAGGCAGAGTAACAAAGAGAAAAGGCGAGACACAGCAAGAAGGATCTTATATCCACTGGTTCCCTCCCCAAATGGCCACAATAGCTAGATCAGAGCCAGGCCAAAGCCAGGAGCCAGGAATTCCGCCCTGGTCTCCCACGTATGGGGCAGGGGTCTGAGAACCTGTGCCATCTCTTATTGCTCTTCTAGGTACATTTATTTGCAAGGGACTGCATTAGAAGTGGAGCAACCAAGACTCAAACTGGAGCTCGTATGGAGTGCTGGCATCACTGAGCAACAGTGCAAACCTCTCACTAGGTCTTGTTTTAGCATTTCTACATTTGTTAAAGTCGCTAAGTGAAAGCTTGACGTCCGTTTGAGAGGTTGACAGTGTTTGCTTGTCCTTCTATTAGACTCCATGTGTCTGCATCACCAGGACTGACTGCCATGCTGGGCAGTGAGTGAGTTAATGAGTGACCAGAACCCAGTGCCTTCTATTTTGCTTCCCCTTCCCTCAAGAGCCCCGAGCCTGCTGGGTCCAGGGATAAGAGGGCGTGTCTGGCCACATAGCACCTGCTGGTCCCAGAGTGTTAGAATGACCTCTGGGCCTGCAGCTTGCTTTCTTGCTCATCCCAGCAGAAAGGGGTTCTCCCCTCCGCTGATGCAGTGAGAAAAGCGCAGGGCTGGTCTTTGCTCAGAGGGATGTGGCCTCAGCATGCAAGGAGCCAGGGAGGTAGAGAAAGGAAGGGAGGCACTCCTATTGTGTCAGTGAGAATACAGACTTGGACAGGGTGTGGAAAGGAGTGTGATCAGGAGGTCAGTGCTTGGAACCAGCACTGTACTTCCGTTGGGTATTCCTCTGCTTTGCAGTGCTGACATCCCAAATGGCTGCCAGTTTGTGTTTGTTTCTTTCTTTTATTTTTGTTTTGTTTTTTCATTTTTATTGCAAAATCAGATATACAAAGAGGAGAGACAGAGAGGAAGATATTCCGTCTGATAATTCACTCCCCAAGTGACCGCAATGGCTGGTTCCAAAGCCAGGAACCAGGAACCTCTTCTGGGTTTCCCACGTGCGTGCAGGGTTCCAAGGCCTTGGACCGTCCTCGATTGTTTTCCCAGGCCACAAGCAGGGAGCTGGATGGGAACCAGGGCCCATATGGGATCCTGGCACAGTCAAGGTGAGGACTTTAGCCTCTAGGCTACAGTGCTGGGCCCTCTTTCTTTTCTTTTCTTTTCTTTTCTTTTCTTTTCTTTTCTTTTCTTTTCTTTTCTTTTCTTTTCTTTCCTTTCCTTTCCTTTCCTTTCCTTTCCTTTTCTCTTCTTTTCTTTTCTTTTCTTTTCTTTTCTTTTCTTTTCTTTTCTTTTCTTTTCTTTTCTTTTCAAGATTTACTTATTTTGGGGCTTGGTACAATGACTCAACAGCTAAGTACTTACTGGGTGCCAGTTCATGTCCTGGCTGCTCCATTTCCCATCCAGCTCCCTGTTTGTAGCCTAGGAAAGCAGCAGAGGATGGCCCAAAGCCTTGGGACCTGCACCATGTGGGAGACCCGGAAGAGACTCCTGGTTTTGAATTGTTTCAGCTCTGTTCATTGTGACCATTTTGGGAGGGAACCAGCAGGGGAAAGATCTTTTTCTCTATATATATATCTCCCTTTCAAATAAAAATAAATCTTTAGAAAAATAAAAGGAAAAAAAAAGGAAGGAAGGAAGGGAGAGAGAGAGAGAGAAAGGAAAGAGGGCTGGTGCAATAGCCTAGTGGCTAAAGTCCTTGCCTTGCACGAGCCATCATCCCATTATGGGCACTGGTTCTAATCCCAGCAGTTCGATTTCCCATCCAGTTCCTTGCTTGTAGCCTGGGAAAGCAGTCGAAGACAGCCCAAAGCCTTGGTACCTTGCACCCATGTGGAAGACAGGGAAGAGGCTCCTGGCTTCAGATCAGCGCAGCTCCAGCCAATGCAGCCGCTTGGAGAGTGAATCAATGGGCGGAAGATATTCCTCTCTGTCTCTCCTCCTTATCTGTATATCTGACTTTCCAATAAAAGAAATAAATCTTTTTTAAAAATTAAAAAAAAGAGAGGTAGAAAAGAAAGAATGAAAGAGAGAAAGAAAATGAAGGAAAGACAGACAGAAATGGGTTAAGGTGCATCTACAGAGCGCTGTGTGCGATGGTGGATGTCAGTGTATCGGAAACAGCACCTCCAGCATTTCAAGATCTAGGAAGAAGCCCAGGAACTTCTTGCAGAATACACAAGAGAGAGGGATGTGGGCCTCAGTGAGAATTAGTGCGTGGCCTTTTTTCCTACTGAGGAAATGAGAGCAGTAGCCTAACTGAGTATTTGAAGGAAGATTCTGGAAGGGGGATCACAGAACAGCTGAAGCTGTTGAGGGGACAATGCCTTTTGGTAGGGGAGGGAGACCACACTTTTTTGATTGTTGTGTTGAGCTGTTTACTTAAAAAAATCAATGTTCTGTAACTTTAAAATAAGTCCAGAAGCCTTGGTTATAAAGAACCAGATAGACAGAAAACTAAACAAGTTAAAATGCCTTCTGTTGGGCCCAGCACGATGGCGTAGTGATTAAGGTCCTCGCCTTGCACACCCAGGATCCCATATGGGTGCCGGTTCTAATCCCGGCAGCCCCACTTCCCATCCAGCTCCCTGCCTGTGGCCCGGGAAAGCAGTTGAGGACGGCCCAAAGCTTTTGGACCCTGCCACCCGTGTGGGAGGCCTGGAAGAGGCTCCTGGCTTCGGATCAGCATAGCATTCAGCCATTGCGGTCCCTTGGGGAGTGAATCATTGGACGGAAGATCTTCCTCTCTGTCTCTCCTCTCTGTATATCTGTCTTTCCAATAAAAATAAAAAATAAATCTTTAAAAAAAATGCCTTCTGGGGCCCGGCACGGTGGCGTAAGTGGTTAAAGGTCCTCGCCTTGCACGCCTGGGATCCCATATGGGCGCCAGTTCTAATCCCGGCAGCCCCTCTTCCCTTCCAGCTTCCTGCCTGTGGCCTGGGAAAGCAGTCGAGGACAGCCCAAGGCCTTGGGAACCTGCACCCGCGTGGGAGACCCGGAAGAGGCTCCTGGCTTCGGATCGGCATAGTATCGGCCCGTTGCGCTCACTTGGGGAGTGAATCATTGGACGGAAGATCTTCCTCTCTGTCTCTCCTCTCTGTATATCCGCCTTTCCAATAAAAAAAATAATAATAAAAATAAATCTTTAAAAAAAAAATGCCTTCTGTTAGCCAGGCAAGTCCACCCAGCAGTACTGGTCCTTGACCCTGGGGTCTGGGTTCAGTCCACAGGGGTCCCCTGTTCCAGCAAGGCCTGAGGGAGAGAGACGTGGGAGAGTGAATGTGGCTTTTTATGCAGTTGCCTCTGGGGACCAGGACTGGTGGCCCACACTTGACAGGTTTGGCTTTATATGCACAGTGGTCAGTGGTGGCCCACCTGCAGCCACACCCAGACACAAGCAGGCATAGACCCTGTGAGGCCCCACAGATAAGGGTACTTCCAAACATTTGTGAGAAAATGAAATGAAAAGATGTATTTTGGTTTAAAAAATTTTTTGAACTGCATACAGTTTTTCCTAATGTGCATTTCTAGAATTATTTGAAAGACCTCTCTCAGCTGCCCTGCAACTCCAGCCTCCAGCTGAGATGCTGCACCTTTGCAGTGTCACCCTTGGAGCAGGAAGCCCTGCCAGCCAGGGCTTCTTGGGGTCCAGAGTGGGTTTCAGCCCAGGATGGTGGGCTGTGGTGGGAACTCTAGCAAGTGACTCAGGTCCTGTTCCAGAGCCGCACACTTCAGGGCCTGGCGGGTCTGCTCCCCCTGCCCGCACACCACAGCCAGGTGATTCCTACATATCTACTGTTTACGACACTTCACACACTGGCAGGTGCAGAAAGAGAGGCTGGGGCACGGTTCTGGAGTGCCACTCGGTGGCTGGCAGGCGCCACAAGACTGGCCTTCCCAGTGCTGTTGATCTTCGACCTTGGCCCTCTTCCAGCCTACCTGCCTTCCCTCTGGCCTGTTTCTCATTTCCCTCAGCGCTTTTGCCCTGACAAGTGCTTTTTCCCGCTCCTTGCTTAGGCCAGTCCTTCCATGCTGTCTTCCAGCCCTACCTCCTGCACGTCTCCCACTCCAGACGGGGAGAGCCCAGGTAAGAAGCTCCAGTGGGCTTCTGAGAAGAAGCGGCGGAGGACTTCATCCACAGGCTCAGAGTCAAAGGCGCACGCGGACCCGTCCAAGGCGTCCAGGTTCCGGAGGTCCAGCCGGCTGACGGTGAAGTATGACCTGGGGCAGCTGCAGCGCTGGCTGGAGATGGAGGAATGGGTGGATGCTCAGATTCAGGTGCTCTTCCAGGTGAGTGGCCCACTGGGTTGGAGGAGCAGACGGTGGTGGTGGGGGACTGCACAGGGGCTGGGGGCACCTGCCAGGACTGTGGCCCCAAGAAGCCTGTGTGTTACGTGTATCCTCAACACACATACATGTCTGCAGCTACGCTATCAAATGCCGCAGCTATCAATCATGTGTAATTATTTGAAGGAATTAAAATGAAGTAAAGGGGTGGGTGTTGTGGTGTAGTGGCGGAAGCCATCTTTTGTTATGCCTCAGTCCCATCTTGGGAGTGCCAGTTCACATCCCAGCTACTTTGTTAATGCATTCTGGGACTGCAGCAGATGACAGTCCAAGGACTGGGGCTCCCCTGCCAGCCACGCAGGGAGATCTGGATGGAGTTCCTGGCTCGTGGCTTTAGTCTGACTCAGCCCTGGCTGTTGTGGGCACTTGCAGGAATGAACCAGTGGGTGGAAGATCCGTCTGTCTCTGTCTCTATGTTCTGTATGTTTCTCTGCATTCTAAGTACCTGTAAACAAACAAAACTTTTTTTTTTTTAACTTAAGGAAAATGGGGTCAGGCGCAAATGGCTCTATTGGTTAATCCTCCCCTTTTAAGCATCAGGATCCCATATGGGCACCAATTTGTGTCCCAGCTGCTCCACTTCCCATCTAGCTCTCTGCTTGTGGCCTGCATCTGTTTGGGAGGACGGCCCAAAGCCTTGGGACCCTGCACCTGTGTGGGAGACCTGGAGGAAGCTCCTGGCTTCTGGTTTTGGATCAGCTTAGCCCCAGCTGTTGTAGCCACTTTGGGAGTGAACCAGCATGTGGAAGATCTTTCTGTGGATCTGTCTTTCCAGTAAAAGCATTATTTTACTGGATATATTTATTTATATTGTTGTTATTGTTATTATTTAAAGATATATTAACTTATTTGAAAGGCAGGGTTGCACAGAGAGAGGAGAGACAGAGAGATCAAGTGAGATATTCTATCTGCTGGTTCATGCAGTAAGTGGATGAAGTGGCTGGGGCTGGGCTGATCCAAAACTAGAGCTTCTTCTGGATCTCCCACGTGGGTGTAAGAGCATAGGGGCGTGGACCATCCTCTGCTGCTCTTCTGGACCATTAGAAGAGAGCTAGATTGGAAGTGGAACATCCGGGAGCTGAACCAGCACCCATATGGGATGCTGGAACTGTGGGCTTAACATGTTGAGACATAGTGCCGTCCCACACAGGACGTTTTTATCCTCTCAGAATGGACAGTACTAGAGAGGAGAGAGTAACTGAAGGGGAACACTACTGCTAGGACCTGACCCAACTCGACCTTAGCTCTGATGGACTCCCCTCAACTACGTTCTGGGAAAAGGTAGCTCTTGGCCCTGGTCATTGCACGTGGCATTTTCCTGTATAGATATCCTCCACACCTGGACCCTAGGGTAGTAAGAACACCACTCCGACAGCATTAATAACCTTTTGAGCAATGAAACTATATATAAGGCATGACGCCAGGTGCCAACATGAGTATTTTACCCATCCGTCCCCGCCAACTCCATTGGGTAAGTACTGTTTTACAGCTAGGCAAGTGGGGCTTAGGGACAATGAGTAACTTGCTCAAGGTCAGGTAGCTGGGAAGGCATGGGACCAGGAGCCGCAGAGCTCCAGTTCTTATTTAGGAAGCCAGTGCTTCTCTCTACCTGAAATACTTTTAAAACAATTGATTTACTTATTTGAAAGTTGGAGTTACACAGTTAAGAGAGGGAGAGAAAAAGCAATTCCATCCCTTTGGTTTGTTTAGTTCAGGGCTGAACCAGGCCAAAGCCAGATGATGGATGGGAAGTTGGAGCAGTTGGAACATGAATCAGTGCCCCTATGGGATCCCGATGCTTGCAGGCAGAAGATTAATTAGCTAGTTGAGCCGCTGTGCTGGCCCCTAGGTTTTTTTATCTTGGTGTTGTTCAATTGGTGGTGAAATAATTTTCACTATTGTCTTTAAAACTATAAAGACCCTCTTTTCCAAGGTCTGGTGCAGTAGCCTAGTGGCTAAAGCCCTTACCTTCACACACCAAATTCCCGTATGGGTGCCAATTCTAGTCATGGCTGCTCCACTTCCTGTCCAGCTCCCTGCCAGGATTCCATATGGGCATGGGTTCGTGTCCCAGCTGCCCACTTCCCATCCAGATCCCTGCTTGTGGTCTGGGAAAGCAGTTGCAGACGGCCCAACGTCTTGGAACCCTGCACATGCATAGGAGACCCAGAAGAGGCTCCAGGCTCCTGACTTCGGATTGGCTCAGCTCTGGCTGTCACGACTGCTTGGGGAATAAATCAACAGAGGGAAGATCTTCTTCTTCCTCTCTGTCTCTTCTCCTCTCTGTATAACTGACTTTCCAATGAAAATAACCATAAATATTAAAAAAAAAAAAAAGTAAGATGTCTGTGCTGTGTGCAGAAAGAGTATACAGACCCTCTTACAGAGAAACACATTATTATATGGTGTCAGTGAGATTGCCTGGGAAAACTTCACATGTGGGCTGATTACAAAGTATAGGTTCCTGTCATCAGCATGAACACTTGTATTCGTATATGGCTGATAACATACATAAAGGCTGCCTTATTAAAAAAAAAAAAGAGTGAGAGACTGCCCTATCACAGCCTACCATCGGCTCACCTGCCTTTTCTACAGGTTCATCAGCAGGCTGAGCATACTGCGTCTTTCTCTATGCTCTCTCTTCAAGACCTTCCAGGATGGAGATGTATCATCACTGTCCTAATTCATGAATTTTGAGTCTTTGCCACTAATTCCAAGGGAGACTTTCTTTGTCATTGGGAGCTGTTCTGTAGGAAGTGTCTTTGTTTTTTTTTTAAAGGATCTATTGTTTATTTACTCAAAAGGCAGAGTTACAGAGAAAGGAGGAGATAAATAAAAAGAGACAAAGTGATTCTATCTGCTGGTTCAGTCCCCAAATGGCTTCACTGGCTAGGACGAGGCCAGGCTAAAGCCAGGCGCCTGGAGCTTATTGTCAGATTTCACATAGGTGACAGGGACCCAAGAACTTGGATCATCCTCTGCTGCTTTCTCAGGTGTGTTAGCAGGGAGCTGGATCAGAAATGGAGCAACTGGGTCTGGAACCTATGCCCATTTGGGATGCTGGCATCGTAGGTGGAGACAGCTTGCTCTGCCACAGCTCTTACCTCAGGAAATATGCAGACAGTTCACATATAACCAGTTCTTGTAAACTGCACTCCATGAATGCAGCCATATGTCTTGTCACATAAATATGAGATGATTGAGAACTGTAGCTCTGCAGTTGAAACAGCAGATGGACAGGTTTGGAAAACATGAGGGCCCATGGCATCCTATCCAGCAGTGATCAGCCCAGCACCGTAGGGTCTCCGACCATACCTTTGTGTTGGTTTCTGGGTTTGGCTTCCGACTGGAGATGAGACATGGGGTGGGGGGGTCTGTCAAATCCAAAGGTTCCAGTCTAGCATCCACAGTAAGTCCTGTAATTGATTTTGCCATGTGCTTGTCAACAGGGCAAAAAAATTTCTTCTAGGATGAACTATAAGCTCTGGGCCCAGTCTTTGTTGAAGGTCACTATGACATGTGGCCCTTTGGTCTGGTCCTGACCTGCATGCCCTCTTAGGGAAGTTGGGGAGACATCCCTAGAGCTGGATGCCAGCAAGGGTGCTCTCCTCATCTGTGGCTACCCTGACATTGCAGGGCACCTCCACTGCCCTTCACTCCTTGCAGGTTGCATCTTCAGCCTATTGTATGCTTGCACGGAAAGTCTCAGTTTCAGATACCTGAAGAGGACAAGTCTTGCCAGGCATTGAAGAGAGGCAGTAGCCAAAGCACGTTGTTTTGGAGGCTGAAGGTGGAGGAAGGGACAGGGAAAAGCTGCCTGGCATGGCAATGAACCCATGCCATTAAAGAAAAGAACATGTGGGAGGACCACTCCCAGGCCATGACCGGAATAAAATGACTGGCCTGTGGTTGCTATGGCAATTGTCCAAAGGTGCCAAGTGGCAGTTCTTCTCCCAATCTCTGCTCCCTGAAGCAGGAAGTAGCCAAGCGGCTGGGGCAACCCCAGGTGCCTGGTCATCTTGGGCAGAGGGCAAAACCACATAATCTCTGGCTGGACCTTGGAGGGGCCCTCCCTTCCCGCCAAGCTCCTCCCACATGCCTGCCTTGGACTGCCCCATTGGGAATGCTATAGGAGTGAGTGCATGGAACCCAGCCTTCCTTTGCTGGGGTCCATACCTCTTCTGCTTGGGTTTACAGTCTGACTTGGGGTCTTCAGACAAACCAAGTGTGGGGATCCCCAACAGATGTGGGGCCAGGGAACCTCTGTTGGCCTGAGGGAGTGTGTGTCTAAGCAAGGATAAAAGTGCCCATCCACCCCTCTTGTTTCATGAGATCCTCACTCAACAGTGTGCCCCCCTTTGAATTCCCAACCCTATTCTTGCCTCCATGGAGCCAGAGTCCACACTCACAGCCTTTCCCTTCAGGTCACTACTCCACAGAAATCTGGCTTTTGTTTCCATCTTTTCTATTGAGAGCTCTGGCTGAAGACAGCAGTCACTGCCTTGGGACTAAATGTAATGTGCATATCTAATGAGCACCCGAGGTTGTTGTTGTTAATGAATTTATTTCTTTGAAAGGTAGAGTTACAGAGAGTGAGAGAAGTCTTCTATCCACTGGCTCATTTGCCTTATAGCTACAACAACTGAGGCTGAGACAGGCCAAGCTATGTTGTGATACAGTAGTGGAGCAGCCAGGACTCGTACTGGTGTCCATTTTGGATGTGGCTCTCCACTGCACCACCAGGCTAGCACCCAGAATTGTGAAGCTTTTCTTCCCTGTAGTTTCCATGAGCCTATATTTTCCTTGTAGCAATTGGCATTTTGTTTTAGCCCTTTTAATATGGTGACTTTGTAAGTAATGGGTCATTAACCTTTCAAGTTGAAACAAGTATTGTCAAATGGGTGTATGTTTGCTCCTCTGAGTTTCCCTCCTTTGCTGGTCTC